CACGGCGTGTTATCAGTGACATTCTGTCGAGCAGCTGTATAATGGACCAAGACACTCGTTAGAGCGGATGAAGTTATAAGGTGTGTATAACTGTCTATGTATAAACACTTGGAAGAGTTTACCATTTACAAATCTTTGATTGGAAACAATTGTCAGACACTCTTTCTCTCTCTTTGCGGGAATAAGACTCAGTCCAAACAAGCAGGACGAGTGAATCAATGGCTAGCTTATCACTGACAGAACGATGGACGATTACAGAAATTCACTGACAATCAAATTCTGTGCTGACGTATTCTCTGCTCACAGATGTCCTTTTATAAAGCTGACTAAAAAGCGCGAGCGTGAACTGAACAAACCTTTTAATTTCTAAGGCTTATTTTCCGGCTAATAAAATGAACTGTACGTAAAAAACAAAAGAGAAATAGCGAAAAATTCCAACTTGATATGTGTGGAAATCTTCATCATGAATCGGTATATTTCAAAGAGCTACACAACGACCAAGTCTAGAATACTATTGACCAACAACATACTTGAACATACAGAGCGGGGGCAGCTGTAGTGTCACCTATTACTAATTATATGTTTATACGTGCGTAATATTGACGCCCGGGGGGAACTCCCTTAGTGGCCTATGCGCGGGGAGGCTCCGCCCGAAAGAGGTATCTTTTTCAGGCTTCAGGTATATGAAAGGGTAGGCATTTTACACGTTGAAGTATATGAAAGGGTGAGGAAAATCTGTCATTTGGGTCTGTGAAAGGGCCCAAAGGGCCAAACAGATGAATTTTATGGCCCTTATAAAGTCGGGAAAACGCTCTATTGATTCCTAATGAAATGACAGTGCATTCACCAGCAGTTGAAAGGGATGCAAAGTTCTAAACGAGGTATGTGAAAGGGGTACAATTTGTTTTAATAGAAGGTATACGAAAGTGGTACCTTTTTCGTGAAAAATGGTATATAAAAGGATACGGGGTTGGACCTCGGGGCGGAGCCTCCCCGTATAAAAATTTGTTGAGTACCCCCCTCCACATGTATTTACGTTCGCAAATAAAACATTCCATGGCACGTAAACGTAAAAGTTGAACCTCGCTCAACTACACGTTTAAGCTCAACACTATATATCTTGCCTCTATTCTATTTACGTGATGAAAATTTACGTGTGTGTACATGCACGTAAAAATTACGCGACAGAGGGTTCACAATAGGTTTGGCGGGATGCGGGATTTGGCTATTTTTTTTTGTGTGGTGATACTCGGGATGCGAGCTAAAAAAGGAGCGGGAAGCGGGAATTTTGATAACGAGTGGGAGCGGGATTTCCTATTTTTATTGGGTTAAGCTGCGGGGAGCGTAAGGGAAAAGTAGCGGGATAGGGGAATTTTAAAAATGTAGTCACGACAAAACTTAAAAGTCACGACAAAACTTAAAAGTTTTGTTGGGACTACATTTTGACTCTTTTGTGTACACCGCCTTTGTACTAGTCGCCAAGGAAATGAAGGCCACCAAATTTATCCATTATCACCTTTGCGAGTTTTCGTCTTATTCCGGTACTTGGTAAAGAAGGCGTGCTCGAACGGTCAAAGAAGAGGTCTGGAGTGAGGCCAAGAAACTAATTAGACTAGTCAGAGAGGCGAAAAATACGCGGTTAATTTTACACAGTCTTCGCCCGTATTCGGCATCTTTTAAAACCGATTGTGAGAAAAAAAAGACTGTTTTGCAAACTATTGCAGGTCACACGCACCTATTTTTGTGCGGATTTAAGAATGGAAGA